GTTGGTTCCAAGGGAAAAAAGCGATACCTATGCCTCGCCCTAAGAACCGAGGAGTGGCATGAGGAATGAAGCGTAATGCGCGATCTGAATTACATTCTTTAGGTAGTGCTAAGGCATTAGCATTGCGATTCGAAGGCCAATTTCGAAGTGAGAGTAGAATTCTCTTTCACACACTCAGACATCAAACACCTGTGGAATCGTAAGAGTGCTGGCTCGAACGTCAACAGACCTGTCATATGCTCCAGAAGCATCCATGTACGAACAGCAACAGCGTCGAGCGCAAAGGCCACGCCTTTTTAACGAGGGGGCCACTGATAGCACGGATGGATCGCGGCCAGGTGCCGGAACTTTTCTTGATGCGTTTAACCTCAGAGTTTATGGCGCCTGCGAGAATGGAATTTGTAGTCGTCTTCTATGATCCTTAATCATCTCCCGGCGAATGACGGAGCATCAACTTAGAATGCTAGCTGTGTTCTATGCGCAATCTTTCCCTCTCATTTTTTTCTATCTGGGGCTCTCTGAAGCTTCAGGGAATGTCGATTTCGACTATTTGCACCGCGTACCCACTACGACCATCAGGGGGATACATTTCAACCATTTTACACTAGACAGACTTGCGGACTGTGATCAGCATACCGACAAGGCCTTCCGCGAGAACACGTGTACATGATAGACAAGGGACGAAGAGCCATGCCCACGGCGGGACTCGAACCCGCGACCCTTCCCACCGAGGCGCAGGGTCGGCACACGCACTGGCCCTCGCGGACATCCTGGTCGGCGCAATCTTTCGTTGCCATTATGTGGAGGAATGCGTCCCCTCCCCGGCAAAAACCGCATGCGCCAAGAGCGAGGCCTCGCAACTGGGGAGCGGGCGGGCGGAACTGGGGAGCGGGCCCTGCAACTGAGTGCCCAGCGCCGCGCGCACAGACGGAGGGGTCCGCCGGAGCGGCCGTCCGCCGAGTCCCGCACTAGGCTTCCGTTTACTCTAGAGGGCACGGCGTCCTCCCGGCGCAGCACCGCCAAGGCCAACCGGTGGCGCACCCGCCCGCTGCCCACGTCGCGCTCCAGTGTTCGCATCCCGGGGACGCGGGGCGGGGAACCGGATCCAGTTCGCCTCGGGGAGAGGTACTCCAAACATTTCCATTCCAAGGAAAACGTCCAACATACGATGATCCTATTCACCATCCACAGAGGCATTGAGAGAAAAGTTAACATAGTAAATGCTTTTACAATAGACGATTTAGATTAAAACCCACAACATTAACATGTTTATACAGACCAGCACATAGTAATCACATTTTTCTTTATATCAAAAAAATATTTATTTTTTAGTCTCTTGACGTCAACGCGAGTGTAAGATGAGATCACCCAATAAACAAAACATTATAATGCATACTTCGCGCGGAATGTATCTTGGATCATACACTCAACACTATTGTACTTATGCGTAACTCGTATTTAAGTCAATAGAAAATTAAATATTTCGCGCACACAAAAGACAAGGGACAAATATTCATGCCCAAGACCTTCGGCATCCGTTGCAAGTAATCTGAACCTGCGAGTCTTCTGATGCACCCGTTACGACGACACGGCTTCTAGCCGCTTCCATCATCCAGTCCGGTTTAGTTACTTTCTTGTCTTTTGTAATCAGATAATTACAACACAAAATGATGATTTATCTGTATATTTCACACACACACACACACACAATCATTCGACAATCATTTGGTCATTCACTCTCAGAGCAGTGACAATTCGTTAATTTTTTAAAAACACGTACATTTTCAGTGGCCCAGAGCCGCTGTGTCGAGGGGCGTGGAGTGGAGAGGAGAGGGGGGGGGTCCGTTAAGGCGCCGCGCGTCCACCCGTGTCGGCGGTCGCCGTTCCGCCGCCGGCGCTTCCGGGAGAGCCGCTTCCTCCCGCCCCCGCCGCCCGCGACCGCTATCTCCGCGGCGGCGGCGGCGGCGGCGCGCGACGCTGCGGAAACCCGCGGGGAACGCGCGCTCTGCGGCGCTGCAGAAGAAGAGCGCTCGGGCGTCGGAGGAGGGGTTCGTTCGTGTGTGGAGCACTCGCGAATGCATTCCATGCAAACTCAGTGTTGTCATGCGGCACATATCAATAATTACGTGAAAAAATAGGGAAAAAAACTTATGTAACTTCAGGTGGGAGTATTTTATGTGCTGCAGGGAGGTGGTATGTGTTTTTATGTGGTAAGGGGTTTTCCAGAAGATAAGTTGCTGAGACGAATTTAGAACTATATTCTGCATTGCCATCTTTACACAATAAGTTTAAATGGTTCACAAAATTCAGTTAGTATTTTTCAGAAATGTCTCCTTTTTGTGGTTAGTGAAGGTGAAATAGTTCAAGGGTTCGAAGAAACAAACGTTTCTCTAAAATAATTAAAGACGTCATTGCCAACAATATTATTTAATGCAAGAGCAGCTTTCTATGGCTTAGCCATCATCATCAGTTGTCTGATACAAGAAGAAAAATCAAAAACAAAACATTAAAACGTGAATATTCCTTTGAATTAACAACAAGATTATGATAAAGGTCACAAATAATTTACAATTTTTTTTTAATTTTTTGGAAAATATATTTAACCTTTATAATAATATTTTTGTTAATTCAAAGGAATATTCACGTTTTAATGTTTTGTTTTTGTTTTTTCTTCTTGTATCAGACAACTGATGATGATGGCTAAGCCATCGAAAGCTGCTCTTGCATTAAATAATATTGTTGGCAATGACAATGTCTTTAATTATTTTATGAAAATGCCAAAGATATCACACCACAACACCTATAAACGTTTCTCTTTTAAAATTCATGTATGTTCTAGTTTGACGTATTTAGAACATAAAAACATTAATGATGAAAAGACTAAATGTCACTATGAATATCGTGAATGTTTTCTGACATTGCTTGCATCAGGTTCCAATAATTTTGTTTATTTATGGAACTTAGAAAACTTTATATCCATTTTTTCACGTTTGATTTGTTTAAATAATATTTACAGCTTGTGATAGTTATAGTGATTAATTTAGTTTTGAGGAATCCTCATCAATAAACAAAAAACTACAAAGATACTGAAACCTAGCCCAATCAAAATTTCTAGCCGCGACTCCTCATTTGCATCCGCAACCGCCACGACCTTGGATCGAAATACAGGACTTGGGGGCACTGGTAAAAATGATCGTCAACTGTCACTCACTCTCCCTGCAGTGAGCATTGCACGAAACACGTCACGGGAAAGAGTTGCATGAAACATGATCCGCGTGTCAACAAACGGCTTCTGTTTGGGAATGGTGGGTCCAGTCACTCACCCTTTCTCCGTCACTTTCACTTGATTAACATTTCCTGAGCTCGCGTCGCGGCAACTTCCTGGCTCATACCGTCACCTTAAACAGAAGTGAAACTGCATTCGCGCAGGACGCATCGCGCTACAAGGGGAAGAAAGCCGATTACGATACAGTTGGAGATAAGCGTTCCACTCGCCGCTTTGCAGAAATATTTATAACGAAAGTTCATCTTTTAAATTTTACGCTTCGATTAATACGTTCGAATGCATCGAAGCGGCGGGTTCTACATCACTGGAACCCGCATCGTCGCTTTGAAAGTTGCCATGCTTCCTTAAGAGTTAACAGATCATTCTTTCGGCAGTGCAAAGGCACACTTTCCCCTCACTAACGTTTATTACAATGAAACAAAATGAGATACAATTCAAAAGTTCATTCAAATGGATTGTGGTAATTGATTGCATTAGTCCTGTGTTTTATCAAAAGTGTGCAATGTTTTATTACGTTCCATGGTATGTCAAAATAATGCTATGTGAATTTACGGAATTCTAAAAATAGCAAATATATTAAAAATGTATCATCTCGTACCAAAAGCTAAATAACTGCCCTAATATTCAACCCAGAACGAAAAAGAACATTATTCTGAAGGTTCGATTTCTGAACAAAATAAAAGGAATATCGTAGAAAAAAGGTCTGGGGCAATTTATGTTTCTTTTCAATTTGTAATTAAACCGTATTATTTCGTAACTGTGCACTGATAATATGTTTTTATCTACAAACTCAAACTTAAGAACCAACTTCTAGATATATGCCTATCCGTTTACTCCTCAGTAAACTTTGTAATCCTACAATTATCTTCACAGATCAGACATCTGGAAAGTAGAAGCTGTAAGAGTTAGATCAGGGCAAGAGACGTTCTTCGGATAAAGGATTTTCTTAACATTAACTTCATTAGCTTCTTTTTCAAAACCACGCCTTTTTGCCCCGGTAGGCAAACAAAGAAAGCTCACGATCTCTCGTCTTTGTGCAGCTTCACAATTTATGAGAGTGTTCGCATGAAAGTGAAACTCTTCTATTCTCCAGCATTCTCAACAGACTCAAACTTCATGTGCGAGGATGGATTAAACAATTGCAGTAGAAATCTTCCAAGTTTGAGCGCACATTTAGCATTCTCCGCGGTGTAGACTATGACCATTGTTTATATTCTTTTACTTTCCCAGAAAATTGAAAAAAGGTAGCCAACAATATAGGCACTTACATCAGAAACACTTTCTCACTTTTTGTTGTATGCAATAGTTAAAGTAAATATGGAATTTAACTGAAGAAGTATCATTCATCACATTTTCAATATGTAATAAATTACACAATTTTGGAGCATTGCAAACACGTGTGATGGCGAATGCTGCCCATGACAAAACTTTGTGAATAATTCACATTATTTGCAATAAATACTAGAAATATTATTTATTATCAGAATCAGGTTTGAAGGCAAGTTGAAAACAGATTGTCGAAAAAAGTGTCACCAAACGTGGATTGGTGCCCAATAAAAACCTACGAATTTTTAAATTAATAACTACTTCCACTGCCGTTCTAAATACGCTTTTATAATAGAAATGTTTGCAATATTTACCACAAGGCACTTCGTTACACGTGTTGTAGATTCCGCTTTCAGAACGCACGCTGAGCGCGCCCTCTCCGTTGCAGGCGTACCAGAAGATCCGCTCCAACTCGGTGCAGATCGCGCGCATCGCCGCAGTCGCCCTCGTCGCCATGAGCGTCATCCTGGGCGTCTTCATCCTGGCCGCCGCCTACGTCAGCGCCACGGCCTCCTGCCAGAGCATGCACCACGTGAGTACGCAATGTTTACTCAAATGCGCCAGTATGTCAGATATAACAAGGCAGAGCGAGACCAATAAAGAAGCCGTACAGATTCAACAACTGGTTCGTTTTCCAATGCGGAACAAAATAACAGATGTTAATGAGGAACGTTTGGAACAGATTTCTGTACGCACGACTACGGTAATTTTTTTTGCATTTTTGCACATTTTATTTCTTTATCTTGACTCACTAGATTTTCTTCAGAGTGGAACTGTCATGATACTGCTTATTACTATAGTATCGAAAACATTTTCACCGACTTCATATTAATATTAATTTATTATACTAAACGATAAAGTATCTTTATCTTCGTACGCAATATCTGATTTGATTTTATTCTATTAATTTTCATAAATATAATTTAAAATTCGAAATAATATTCTACGTATCTAGTAGTTGAAGAAAAGTATGCAAACACAACCTAACAGTTTGATTTGTACAACAGCGTATTCTTGGAGCCGTATTATAAACTATTTCAACTGGTAGTAGCGAATAAGATTCCCATTGTTGGCAAGAACGTGCAGTGCATAAGACGAGATAAAACATTTTTTAACACCGAAGACGATTAAGACGTTTTCTAACAACATATTATTGACCATTAAGAAGCTTCTTTAACCTTCTAAATAAAATAAAGAATATTGCAAGTTTAAGAACATACACAATATAGCGGTTCATTGACACGTATAATACGTTATTATTAGTATTTTACAAATCAAGACCCTTAAAATATAAGCTAAGTGGAAGTACTAATAACATGCAAGTAATGTACAAAATAACAACAATTATGAATTAACAATAGTGATTTATATTTAAGCAAACTATAATTACAATAAAATTTAATTAGAATCATTATTTGTAAAGTGGAATTGATAATAACACTAAGTAATATATATATCTCTTAAATTATAAATCAACAAAAAGTATTTTACATCTGAATAAAATCCGGTGTTTTTGCGGAAGACAAAGCGTTTGGTGCCTCATAAAATAATAGCGCTAACGTCTCCACGTTCGCAGTTTCTTGCAAACCTAAAACAAATGAGCGCGAGAAGAAAATTCGAGACCGCGCATTTAGAAAATAAACGAAAGCGGATTCAGTCGCCACGAAAGCAGCTGCGATAGGTCTCGCTCAGCGCCTTGGCTTTTGCGCCGCCGAGTGTGACGGGCAGCCAGCCGGCCAATCACAGCGGTTTCGGTTCACTTCAGAGGGGAAAGACGGCGCAATTATCGACTCTCCGTTACATGGATCATTTGATGTTCAACCATCAAATCTGCTTTCTTTTCGGATTCAGGAAAAGTTACTACTTTCTTCCATTGTTTCTTTGTTTCACTAAGCGTCAGCCTCTTTGTTAGTAAAAGAAGTAGAGGTTCTCTCTGGATAAGACAGGTGTGGCGCTATGAGGTCATACGATGTATTTCATTATCATCACGCCAGCTGATTTGAAAAACAAACAAAACAAGGTTATGGTTGAATTTGAAGACGGTCTGTAAGCTTTTCAGTGTAACGAAAACCTACCGTAGTATTCGTTTTCGGAATTTATGTAATGAACGATGATGTCATTTATCCTTGCAAGTTTTCCAGCATTGCAAAAGTTGTCTTTACACCATTCAGAAGGCCATTCGAACTTAGCTACATTCACTTTTCAAAGAGCAACTGAGCAATTTACGAGAATAGACGACTCGCAAACCCATGTGTCTTCTAACAGACACACATTCATAGTCCTGGCACACTGTTATTTAACTGTAACTCATACTACATGAGGTACATATTTTACTGGAGGATTAACTTCTAAAAGTATAACGACTATGACATTTAAATGTTTCCAATGCGTATCACAATGTAAACTCCATTTCCGGCTTTCACTTGCTTCATCATGTGTAACGTCAAGAAAACTGATATTTGAAGGGCGTTTCGCCTGAGAAAATTTACATCCACGCACGTCTCCTGAGAAAGTAATATACATTCTGTCGTTACGCTTGTGGTTTCTGAAGAGTGTACAGAACTAATTTTCTAGAAACATGTCTGACATATATTACCAAGGTTTTCTTTCCATAGATAATTACAGACAAATTACTTTTTATCAGTTCTAGAAATCTCTCACGTTAATTATATAGTAGCAGTTTCCTTTTAAAGTTTATTTTATAACAATGTTTAATTCTTCCAATTGGGGTCATTCTTATAATGGTAATGTTGATTTCTTCGACACTTTTAAACATTGGCGAGTAGTTGTACTGCACGAAGAAATGAAAAAATATCTTCATTCTAATATTTGCTGTAAAATTGAGCTTTGAATGGATGTGTGTTCGAAAAAAAAAACCTGCCATGGATACCTTTATTCCTAACTATTTAATTTTCTTCATGACTTGCTGGAATCCGAACAATTCACCAATAAAGGCTAGCATTTTGATCCGCCGGCTTCCGTCAGCCGCCAGTATAGACTGTTGTGACGGTCAATTAAAAACAAATTCAGCACAATGCATTTGCGATTCAATTCAAATATTTATGACAACAAGAATTATTACATTATTTGGTCAACTTATTGCATTTTTCTCACGTGTTTGGAATACAGCAAATAGGCTCATTATTATGCAGAATATAATAAATTTCCCGACAGTAAATAAAATGTCTTATGTCCAACGTAATGCAGTATACTGTCAATGTAATACCATTAATAGGCCAATACAAGCAGAAAAGTCCGAATTGAACAACTCGAACAAATTAAAACATGATGCATGATTTAAAGATCAGTTTGTGCTCTTACCTAAGATCGCATTTGAAGATAACTTTTGTAATTGGGTACAACTAGTCTTATTCTTATAAAGTATATAAACTTTATTGCGATTACCGTCATTTCTATGATTAATTAAAAAGGCAGATCGCGCTGAGAACCGGGCGTGTGCAAACGCAGCCGGAGCGAGCGCCGCCGCGGCCTCCTCCTCCTCCTTTCAGCCTCCCGGCGCCCGGGCGGGGGCGTCCTTGCAGCGCGGGCGTCGCGGGCGGCGCGGCGCCTCTCTGCGCCGCTTTCTCCGCCCGTCGCCCTCCGCGCCCGCGCCGCCGCCGCTTCCCTTTCGCGCTGGGGCCTTGTGACCGCCTGCTCCCGTTAGCGCGCGCGGATCTGGGACTCGAAGCCGGGACACCGCCGCCCCGGCCTCGCCCTCCCTTCGCCAAACCTGCGGGCGGCTTTCTCGGACCTTCGCGGCCAGTGGAGTCTATTCTCACGTTTCTAGGTCATCCACGCTGGGATGCTAGCTTTGGCTAAAACTCGGCCCCGCTTCAAATTCGCTTGCCGCTTCATGGCTCTAAGATTTAAGGTTCAACATAATTTCATGAAGGCTGCGCTTTCTCCATGCAACCACGCCTTGCTGTTCATGACCACTCGTTTCATTTGTCCACAAGATGCATAGCCCATTTCCTTCCTCAGGAACCCGATCACTACCATTCACTACCATGGAATCTCTAATGGAGCATAAATATCAGACCCTAAGTTGGCAGACTAAAACCACTGCTCTTGCCATCTCCAAAGTACTTTTCCCTTCTGAGAAAATGACATATTGATTCTCTTGAAAATTACCACAACTGTACCGTAAAAAGTGGCTCATGTGTTCTAGTATAAAATGTGTCGTGCTTGTCCTGCATTATCAACTCCACTGTGAATGCTAAATTGGGAACGGCTCTTCATTTTATAAACTCATGCACGGTGCATGTGATACACACATTAAGAGAGAAGGCAATTTCATCATTACATCATATGCGAATTTCTGGAGTTTTGGCACTGTTTTCCTACAAAGTTGTTGGAGAGTAAAGTGACAGAACTAGAACACGCACGGTACGCCGATCTCTGCGTAAGAGAGGAGGCTTCCTGAATTCAGTTCTAGTTTCTCCAGCCGGGAGAGCGTTCTCCACAAGACAAACTGGATCATAAACAGAACTGGAATCTGAATTCGAGAAGTCGCACAACCAAACACGATCCACCAGGTGGGTTTGGGCCGTTGAACGTCACGATTTTGTGTCTTCGTTGATGTAACGAAAATCGCAGTTTAAATGGGGCCAGAAAAACACCTTTTTGAAACAAAAGGGGTGTTTTTTGTGAGCGAAAAATCTCATTGCGTAATATCTAGACTAGACTAGACTCACAATCCATGTTAGTAAGTAACAATACAAACGTAGTTTAAATCTTTCTTTATGCTAGTGGAGAAATATACGAAGAGTCCTAACCTAACCCAATCGCTCATTGGTCCAATAAAGATATGTTTCTGGGTAGTTAGAAAACGGAAAAAATCGTCGACAAACTGCTGAGAAAAAATCAAGCTCTTCTCATCAAAGCTGCATTTGCCCAACCCAATGCACAAAAGTTGCCGGCGTGCTTTATTTTGCGCCCGAAACGACGTCCGCGAGCCAACACCCGATTGGGCCCGCGCGCTGCTCGGCGCTGCCGGAAGCGGCGGTCGGAGCGCCGTGGGGTGCGCGGGCGCGCGGAGGGCAGAACGGGTAGCGGCGCCCACGCAGCGACACTCGGGGCCCCTCGCCCCCCCCCCCCGCTTCCGCAACAGCTCTGCTCCACCGCTCCGGGGTCTCTGGCCGGGAGGTCTTCGTGGTCCAGCCTCCACAGTGGCAGGGCTGCACCCCTCGGCTCGCATCGCTAGTTTTCTATGGGTTCTCCGAACAACGCCAGGCGTCTGCTGAGTACTCTAACAAACGGGCCGTGGACCGTGCGCGACCCTCCCTTCCTCCTCTTTAGTCTACCCACACACCTACTCTCACATGCACTGCAATACAGGGAGACCAGTCGAGAGCGTAGAGGTTGTCCCGGGTGGGGCGGTGCCCCGCAGGTGGGAGATACCAGGATGAGGAAAACCCATCTAGCCGACGTGAAGGCCGAACTCGGATTTCACCATCCAGCGGAGGAAGGACACCGCAACCTCCCGTTACAGAAACATGCACTATACTTACGGGACTAAAGACATGCAGAATAGTTTAGATAGCAGTAAATGATGAAAATCTAGAAAATAGTTAAAATGTAATATTTAAAATCCATAAACAATCTCTTCCTTTGACAGGAGACACAAGAAAGTATTTTAAAACACGTTCATTAACCTTTTTGTGGCTTAAGTTATTCGAGAGAGAAATAAATGTATCCTTGGTAAAAGTCTGAGTAGACTAACTTTAATTACTCTACCAAAAAGGTTACATTGTATTGATTCACTGAGATAACGATTTTATTCTACACTGACGAAAACTTCTCTATTGATTGGCAAAACCATAGTATTCGTCGAAACACTCAGTCAGCGCAGTTACGTTCTGGCGTCTGCCCTCGCAGAGCGACGGCGACAAACCACCTGCGCCGGAGCTACCGCCCACGCGTTCCCCGTCCACCCGACGAGGCCTGCAGCTGGCGGAGACTGAGCGCCTTCTGAGGGCGTTCGCGGTTCCCACGCACGGAGCTCTGCTCCCAAAAAGCGGCTTCGCGCCACACGCGCTCGCAACTGACCCGGCTTCGCTCCGCGGTGAGCAGCCACGAGGGCACGAAGCCCAAGCGACGCCAGCCGCTGCCCAGACCTCTCTCATGAGCAGGAAGGCACAGTGCACGATGATTCGACACCTGGTTTGGGAAAGCTTGCCATCGTTTCTTCTATGCGTTTGTGTATTTAAAAATTACCTTTTCTCAAATATTTCAAAATGAATCCTTTTGGAGAACATACACAAGATTAATATAGCCATTACTAAATCAAAATCCCGTTTACCACCTTTTATTTTATGATGTAGAATCTAGATCATTTAAAGCATACACTGAGAAGAATAGGCAACAAATCACGTTGTGGAAGTGTCAACCTCTCCATGCATAAAATTCCATTTTTAGAAAGGAGCATCAACAGACGTAACAATGAGGATGAATGAATATTTATCGAAGATCACTCGCACCGTTGACAGCTTAATGAGAGCGCCGCATAAGAACAGTCGCTTGTTCCAAGCATTTTCCGCTAATATTCCTTTGTTAATTGTTCTGCGATCAACAGCGGAGCATTTCTGTCACCGTTTCTAAACGGAATGCACGCCGGATAGAAGCAATTACTCCGCACGTGAAAGGAGAAGAGAGATTATATCACGCCTAGCATTTTGCAGCCTAATGACGGAAGCGAAAAACGCAAATGGGGACCACGTGAAGATGGGCCTGCGTTTTAGAAGACAACGAGAAGCGTTAGATAAAAAATGAGATCGTGAACGGAACAGGGGCATCTGCATCTTCGTGCTTTGCAGATCGTGCTCTCCGCAACCGCGAAGGTCGCACGGCGTCTGCGCATGCGAGTGGAAAGGAGAAACAATGAGATGGTAGACGAAAGCATAGAACGCCGGTTTTTTCCTACAATTTCTTACACTAAAGCTAACAATTATTATTTTATTATCAAAATCAAATTTTCATATTTTTCTCTAATAGGCATACTACATTTCATGAAGTTACAAGTTTCAAAGAAGTTTATTTTTTAATGAAGAATTAATACAAGATTAAATGTCATGAACCATACAGCTCACACAATACAGGAAAAATATGAGGGTAAGAACTATGAAATATTATACACGTACTATACATTTTCTTTCATTTTCGACTTTATTCATATTATACAAAATAAAATAATAAATTATTCGAATATTTTGAAGGGATCACGCAAACAAATCATAAATAAATTAAACTGAGAAACTTTTGATATTGTGGCATCGTTAACATTGTGGGAGTCAAGCGAAGATGATTGCCAAAGACGTGGAAGGGTCGAGGGGAGAGCGGACAGTCGGGCAGCGGCGCGCGCGCGAAGGCTGCGCGAGAGGATGGGCTGAGCGTGCGTTACGGGCCATTCCCTATTTGCATCGAGGTCGCGCCACTTGCACGCGGGCGAACAAAGGTCGTGGAAAGGTTGCCTCTGACGAAACCACGCGTCGTCGCTTTATTTTCCTCGGAAGTACGAGAAATCATAAGATATCTCAAAAGTTGGGAAGTCACCCTACATTATGTAGTTGATTATTTTCTGGGTTCAGGAATCTGTACGCGGGACGAGAAAAGTGTCAGCAGGATGTCGGCATTTTAAACTGCGTGCCATTAGTCAATTTGACCTCAAATTCTATTATTTTTCCGCTAGACTTTCTTTTAGCATGGAAATCTTAGTATCATATTAAATTCAAATATCATAGCTCCGCCAACAGCATTAATTGACGCGTGAAATTGACTGCTTCGAAGTATTTAACAAACAACACGTCCCTGTGTCACTGTCAAACACAGAATACTATTTCCATAACGAAATGCCATTTCACACGATCTTCCCAAGTGTAGCTAGTCTACTCCACTTTCTGCAGGAGAGATCTCGCTGGTAATGTTGTGTGACCTGTCTGCCGACAGGCGCCAGGCCCCTTGATCGATTGTTAAGATAGCTATTTCCTGCACCACTTCAAAAAAGCCGTTACACACTTCAGTTCGGTTGTATGTCTCGTTCTCTCGCCTAGATCTTTGAAAGCAGTCCAGATCCAGCAGCACGAGGCGTGATTTATCAAGCGCAACTCGAAACGATCTCAGCTAGAAAACTAGATAGTGCAGTGGAGGGAACTAGACTAAGCTAATGGCACAAGTAACATTTTCGCATACATTCTCCTGCTGAGATACCAACTCTATCCATTGGCTTTGGGTGGATTTAAATTGCTAATTTCGTTCTTGGTTTCGAACAGCAAATACTTTGCATTTTTAGATCGTAATCTAAACTCATTCAGGTTTTCTCTCAAAGTGAATGGTATTGAAGATGTCCGACGTGATAACTTTACCAATATTTTTCAATAATTGTAAGAATAATAGTAGTCACAGGTTGAGTCAATATCGTTAAAAATGTTGTTCTTGAAATAATTCTTATGTCTGCATCTAGTTTCCTCTTTGAGGGGACTGCAGAAACGAGTGCTATTGTTCTGTATAACAACATAAATTCAGAGCGATGAAATTGGAAGTTGCAAACTGCAGTAATGGCTGCTTAATTTTGCCGAAAACTTAGTAGTTCTTTTCATATGGCGTATATCTATGAGTTGTATATTAATATTGATATCACCTTCCAGAGATGATAATTTGGATAAATCTCCAATTATCATTTCGTTAACCGCCGCTGTCGTAACGGCCACTGAACGCGTTTGGAGCTCTTGGCTTTGGGGCAAGCGCACTTGCGGGGGCGGGACCTTACTTGGGCTCCGGCGCCACGAGCGGGCGAGAAAGGGGCCGCCGCCGTGGCCTTAATG